TGTGCATGGGGGGCTGCGATGGGCGCCCCGAGCCCCCCCAAACCGCTGCCAGCACCGGCCTCCTCCTCCCCCGCCGCCACCGCTTCTCGCCGTCTCTTCTTCCCTTTTCCTCTTTCTCGGTTGTTTTTCTCGCCGCTCCGCTCTCCCCTGCTCCTGCCCGAGCCAAGGCGGGCATAGCTCGGCTGGGCTGGCGCCGTGCCCACCGGGAGCCCACCGGGAACCCACCGCGGGGGTCCCATCGCGGGCCAGTGACCACCCGTGTGGGCAAAGCCGCCCCTCGGTGCCAGCGACGGGGAAACTGAGGCACGGGGGTTGTGGCACAGGGGTGGCACCTGGGCTGGGGGGCTTCTGTCCTGTCAGAGCTGAGGGGCACAAGGGATGGGCACAAGGGCGGGGGGCTCTGTCTGTACCCCAAATTGGGGAGGGGGGGGTTGCCAGGCGTGCAGCTGCGGGCACAGGGGTGCCCCAAGACCCCCATGGACCCCCCACGAGTGCCCCCAGCCCTAAGAGGGGGGGCTGTGCTGAGTGAAAATGGGGCGACTCCAGCAGATCTTGGGGTGCCTGTGGGTGCAGCACCTCGATCTCATCGCTGCTCCCACCCCTACTTCTCTGTGCTGGGGACCCCGAGCCGGGGGGCTTGGAGGGCACTGGGGGGGTGATGGGGGTCGTTGGTGCCCTGGTGCCCCCCTCGCGCTGCCAGACATAGCGGGGGGCACGGGGGGGCCGGGGGGGGGTGGGAGTCGGGGTGGGGGTGCTTGGGGAGCTGCTGGGGGGGCTCACTGGGGGGTGCTGGTGCTTTGGGGGGCTGCTGATGGGGGGACTCGATGTGGGGGTATGGGGTCCTTGGGGAGGTGCCGGATGGGGGGGCTCAGTGTGGGGGTGCTGATTCTTCGATGAGCTGTTGGGGGTTTCAAAAGGGGGGTGCTGGTCCTTGTGGTGCTGCTGGTGGGGGGGCTCCGTGTGGTCCTTGAGGAGCTGCTGGGGGAGCTCAGTGTGGGGTTGCTGGTCCTTTGGGGGTGTATCTGCCGGGGGCTGTCCCCGCTTGGGTGCTGAGTCCTGGTGGGAGGGTATCACTGCCAGGAGGTGTCACCTTGTGGGTGCTGGGGGGGGGGAGTCAGTGCCGGGGGATGTCCCCGTGTGGGTGCTGGGTTCCTGGGGGTGTCCCTGTGTAGGTTTGGGGGTGTCACTGTCCGAGGGCATCCCGTGGGGTTTTTGGGGTGTCCCCGTGTGGGTTTTGGGGTGTCACCGTCCGGGGGTGTCCCCTTGTGGGCGCTCAGTCCCTGTGTGTGTCACTGTGGGGGGCTGTCCCCGTGGGGGTTTTGGGGGTGTCCCCGTGTGGGTGCTCAGCCCCTGGGGGGGTCTCACCGTCCCCTCCGGGCCGTTTCTCCCTCACGAGGGGAGCTGCTCCCCTTTCCCCTCCGCCCCATCCCGGCCGTTCCCGGGCAGTCCCAGCCCCATCCCGGCCCTTCCCTGGCCGTTCCTGGGCGGTCTCAGCCCCATCCCGGCCCCATCCCTGCCGTTCCCGGGCGCTCCCCGGCCGTTCCCGGGCGCTCCCCGGCCGTTCCCGGGCGTTCCCAGCCCCATCCCTGCCGTTCCCGGGCCGTTCCCGGGCGCTCCCCGGCCGTTCCCGGGCGCGGGGCGGTGCCGGAGGAGGCGGCCCTGGGTCCCCTCCCCGCGCCGCCGCTTCCGCCGCCGCCGCCGCCCTGGGCCGGGCGGGCCCGGCGGGGCCGAACGGGCGGCGGGGCCGCCATGAAGCCGAGCGGGGGTGAGTGGGGCCGGGGGCGGCCTGGGCGGGGGGCTGGGGGTACCGGGGCTCTCGGGGTAACGGGGGCTGTGGGCTGTCGGGGCTGTCGGGGCTCCCGGGCTGACGGTGCCGCCGCGCAGAGGAGCCGGTGCTGCTGGCGGAGCTGAAGCCGGGCCGGCCCCAGCGCTACGACTGGAAATCCAGCTGCGAGACCTGGAGCGTCGCCTTCTCCCCCGACGGGGCCTGGTTCGCCTGGTCCCAGGGACACTGCGTGGTCAAGCTGATCCCCTGGCCCCTGGGGGAGGCCGAGCTGTGAGTGCCGAGTGGGGGAGCCGCGGGGTCATGGAATGGTTTGAGTGGGAAGGGACCTTAAAGCTCATCCAGTGCCACCCCCTGCCATGGGCAGGGACACCTTCCACTAGCCCAGGTTGCTCCAAGCCCCGTCCAACCTGGCCTTGGACACTTCCAGGGATCCAGGGGCAGCCACAGCTTCTCTGGGCAGCCTGTGCTAGGGCCTCCCCACCTTCACAGTCAGGAATTCCTTCCCAATATCCCATCTCTCCCTGCCCTCTGGCAGTGGGAAACCATTCCCCCTTGTCCTGTCCCTCCATCCCTAGTCCCAAGTCCCTCTCCAGCTCTCCTGGAGCCCCTTTAGGCCCCAAAAGGGGCTCTCAGCTCTCCCTGGAACCTTCTCTTCTCCAGGTGACCCCCCCAGCTCTCCCAGCCTGGCTCCAGAGCAGAGGGGCTCCAGCCCTGGCAGCATCTCCGGGGCCTCCTCTGGACTCTCTCCAGCAGCTCCACGTCCTCCCTGTGCTGTTCCCAGGGCTGGAGCAGCTCTGCAGGGGGGTCTCACTTGAGGGGGGCAGAGGGGCAGAATTCCCCCTGCCCTGCTGCCCACGCTGGGGGATCAGCCCAGGGCATGGGAGGGCACATCCAGCCTCTCATCCACCAGCACCCCCAAGTCCTTCTCAGCAGGAGATCCCTTCATTCCCCAGCCTGGATTGGTACTGGGATTGCCCAGTTTGGGGTGGAGAGGTGGGGTCTGGTCTTGAGGTGAACACCCATCCCTGCTTCCCCCCAGCAGCTGCAAAACCTCGGAGCGCAAGAGCCGGGGAGGAAAAGCCGAGGCCAGGAGCCGTGGGGGGGCCAAGGAGAAGACCCTGGAGTGTGGGCAGATCGTGTGGGGCCTGGCCTTCAGTGCCTGGCCCACGGCTGAGGAGGGGGACACGGATCCCACCTGTGCCCTGGGACTTCCCTGCCTGGTCCTGGCCACCGGGCTCAACGACGGGCAGATCAAGGTCTGGGAGGTGCAGACAGGTGAGGGGGCCTTGCTGTCATGGCTTCAGGCTGCTGTCCCTCTTCAGGCTGCTGCCTCTCCCCTTGTTCCCCCGTGGAAGGAGATCCCATCTCCATCTTTCCCCAATACCTCCCCTGCCCTGTCCCTGGGCACGAGGAGCACTGCTGTGGAGGGATGGCCCTGAGGGTGGCTCTTCTCCTCAGGGCACCTCCTCTTCAGCCTCTTGGGGCACCAGGATGTCGTCAGAGACCTGAGCTTTGCTCCCAATGGAAACCCCATCCTCGTGTCGGCCTCGCGGGACAAGACCTTGCGCGTGTGGGACCTGAGCAGAGACGGTGGGAGCCTGCAGGGATGTCCCTGTGCAGGGACAGCCCTGGCTCAGGAAAGGGGGAGAAACCCACCTGGGGCTCAGGGAAGGGAGAGGAACCCACCTTGGATTCAAGAAAGGGGGAGAAACCCACCTTGATGGAGAGATGTTGGGAGAGGACCTGTGGGGACAGTATTTGAGGCAGAAAGGGACAGCCCTGTGACAGGCAGCAGAGCCATCCCCTTCCAGGTGGGACCTGGGAGGTGCAATGAGGGGGTTGCAATTAGGCAGAGCTTGGGATGTGCCCAGGGAACCCCCAGCCCAAGCTGGTCAGAGCACAGTGCCCATAATGCCGAGGTTGTGGGTTGTGGGGTTGATCCTTGTAGGGGCTTCACTCACAATCTGGACCCGATGATCCCTGTGGGTGCCTTCCAGTCAGGATATTCTGTGACTGTGTGAGTTCCTGCTGGGAGCTGCGTGTCCTGCTGCCCTCAGGTGACACGAGTGCTGTCCCCAGGGCGGCAGGTGCAGGTGCTGGTGGGCCACGTGCAGTGGGTGTACTGCTGCTCCATCTCCCCGGACTGCAGCATGCTCTGCTCTGCCGCCGGAGAGAAGTCGGTGAGTCCTGTGCCCTGTGTCCCACTGAGTCCACCCTCTGTGTCCCCTGGCACGAGAAACCTGGGGAGAGGGGGCCAAGCCTTTGCTGCTCAGCCATCCAGGCTCTGTGTGGAGCTGGGCGTTGGGAGCTGGTGAATCACAGAATCACAGAATCAGCTGGGTTGGAAGGGACCTCTGAGATCATCAAGTCCAACCCTTGATCCAACCCCGCTGTGGTTCCCAGCCCATGGCACTGATGCCACATCCAGTCTTATCTTAAAAACCTCCAGGGATGGAAAATCCACCACTTCCCTGGGCAGCCCATTCCAATGACTGAGCACCCTCTCTGGAAAGAAATTCTTTCTAATATCCAACCTAAACCTCCCCTGGCACAGCTGAAGACCGAGCCCTCTTGTCTTGCTGATGGGAGAAGAGACCAACTCCCCCCAGCTCCCCCCTCCTGTCAGGGAGTTGCAGAGAGTGAGGAGGTCTCCCTTGAGCCTCCTCTTCTCCAGGCTGAGCTCCCCCAGCTCCCTCAGCCTCTCCTCACAGCACTTGTGCTCCAGTCCCTTCCCCAGCCTCGTTGCTCTTCTCTGGACCTGCTCCAGCCCCTCAATATCCTTCCTGAAAGGATGCCCAGCCCGATCCCTGTCCCTGTCCCTGTCCCACAGGCACTGCTGTGGAGCATGAGGTCCTACACCCTGATCCGGAGGCTGGAGGGGCACCAGAGCAGTGTCGTGTCCTGCGACTTCTCCCCGGACTCGGCGCTGCTCGTCACCGCGTCCTACGACGCCTGTGTCATCATGTGGGACCCCTACACCGGGGAGCAGCTCCGGACCCTGCGGTGCGGGGAGGGCGATGCCCTGGGAGGGGGCACGGCGATGCCAGGGGGGCTTTTAGGGCTGGGTGTGACCTTCCCTCCTATCTGGGCACAGCCACCATCTCTGTGTTGTGGTGCAGAGAGGGGGACATGCTGTGGGAGGGGGCAGAGCAATGCTGTGGGGACTTCTAGGACTGGATGTTGTGGGGATTTTTAGGGCTGGATGTGACCTTCCCTCCTAGCTGGGCATGACCACTGTCTCTCCACTGTGGTACAGAGCCAGGGGACACTGTGGGAGGGGGCAGGGCAATGCCATGGGGGATTTTAGGCCTGGATGTGGCTTTCCCTCCTAGCTGGGCACGGCCACCATCTCTCCACTGTGGTAGAGAGCCATTCTGTCACCATGGGAGGGGACAGAACAATGGTGTGGGGGTTTTTGGGGCTGGATGTGGTCTTCCCTCCTAGCTGGGCACAGCCACTCCCTCTACACTGTGGGATGGAGCCAGGGGGACACCATGGAATGGGGTAGAACAATTCTGTGGGGATTTTTAGAGCTGGATGTTTTGGAGGTTTTTAGGGCTGGACATGACCTTCCCTCCTAGCTGGGCACGGCCACCCCCTCTCCCCTGAGCCCAGGGGCAGGATGGGGGTCTGACTTGGCAGCACTGGGGAAGGGGCTCCTGGCAGCCCAGGGCTGACACTGGGCTGTTCTCCCCCCTACAGCCACGTGCCCCTGCATTCCACGCTGGATTACAGCAGTGACATCCACACCAGCTCCCTGCGCTCCGTCTGCTTCTCCCCAGAGGGTCTCTACCTGGCCACGGTGGCAGATGACAGGTGAGTGTTCCACCCCTGGGGACCCAGGAGGGGACCAGAACAAACCAGGAGCTCAGGATGTGGGGAATAGACCTCGTGTACTGGGTCCCCACCAATTCCTGGAGCAGGGAAAAGGGCAGGCTGCTGGGAACAGCAGCTTGGGATCCCCAAGCTTGGCTGTGGCAAAGGGGTAGCAAGGCCAGGGCCCTGTCACACCTTGGAGCAACAAGCCAGGGCTCATGTCCTCTTCCTGTGCCCCTCAGCATGTCACTTGCTTGGCAGGGGACAGACCCAAACCCCTGGGCAGCAAATCCTTCTCCAGCGTTTGTGCCTTCGGGTGATCCCAGAGGCTTTGTTTTGGCAGCGGGCGCTGCGTGAATGTGGACCTGGCATCGTGTCCCCTCCCTTTCTCCACAGGCTCCTGAGGATCTGGGCGTTGGAGCTTCGCTCTCCAGTGGCCTTTGCCCCCATGACCAACGGTCTGTGCTGCATCTACTTCCCTCACGGAGGTTTCATTGCCACGGGGTGAGTAAACAGGGGGAGAGGGCAGAGAAACGAGGCTGCTCCCTCCTCCTGCAGCTCCAGGTCCACTCCGGGCTTCCCTGGGGGTGCAGGATGGTTTTCCTGGGCTGTGGCAAGCTCGGGATCTTTGGGGGTAATTGTGACTCTGCTCTGTGCTCGTGGTTCGTTGGATGCTGCTGCAGGACCAGGGATGGCCACGTGCAGTTCTGGACGGCCCCGCGGGTGCTCTCGTCGCTCAAGCACTTGTGTCGCAAAGCTCTGCGCACCTTCCTCACCACCTACCAGGTCCTGGCGCTGCCCATTCCCAGGAAGCTGAAGGAATTCCTCACTTACAGGACTTTCTAAGGCGGCAGGGAGGGCGGAGGCACGGAGGTGAGGGCCCCGTGCCCGGCGGCAGGGCCGGAGGCACCGCAGGAACGCCGAGCCGTGAGCCGGGGAGGGGAGCAGGGTCGCCGCTCCCCCGCTTTTTGGGGCTGTGTGTGGGGACGTGGAGGGATCTTTTCGGTGTAATAATACTAAAACCCAGCCAAAAAAACGTGCAGAGGGCGAGGGGCAGAGCTGGGAGGGGACGCAGGTCCCCCTGTCCCCGCTGCCTGCAGGGGTTGGGTCAGGTGCTTCTGCTTCCCAGTGCAATGGTGTGGGGTGAGGGCCGAGCAGGGCTGTTGTCACTCGGGTGAATTCGGGGCTGAGCTGCTTCCAGAACACCCTCCTGTCCCGGGATGGCCGCTCAGTCCTGCTGGAGCGGGGGCTGTGCTGCTCTCCCGCCACAGGCAGGAGCTGGACAAGCCCAGACAGGTCTCTGGACTAAATAAAGAATGATTCCTCACGTGTCCTGGCTCACAGAGCGCCCTGGTGGTGTCCAGGTGGGACACGAGGCTTCACTCCACCCCCAGCTCCCATTCCTTTGTTTTTATTCCCTGCTGGAGCTTGGCACTCAACCTGCCCGATCTCTGGGCAAGCTGAGCATGGAGCAGGGGTGTGTTGGGTGGTTTTCCCCCTCCTCCAGGTCAGCTGGTGGCTGGAGCAGCACATTCCCTGTGCGCCGGAGGGCTCGGTCCAGGCTGGGATGGAGAAGACAGGGAATGTCTCTTCCAAACATTCCCAGGAGGTTCTTTTTCCCTTGTGAGCACCCGAACACAGAAAGCTGGTGGTTCCCCAACCCAGGAGGGAAAAGCAAGACCAGTGCAACGTGCTGGGCTTTAGAGGCACCTGTATTTCCTGGGAATAACTCTCTTGTGTCCTGGCTGCGGTCTCCAGGATCCCGAAATGGGAAGGGAAAGCTGCAGGGAGCAGCTCCAGCTCTATCCCTCCCATCTCCAGCGAGATCCAAGCCAGGATCCACCCAGCAGGACTCAGGCTTCGGCCACCACCAGGTCCCTGGTGACTTGGAAGGCAGCGATGAGGGAGCTCAGCTGGATCTTCTCGCTGGTGCCAGCGGCCAGCCGGTACCTGGAGCAGGGGCCAAGGGTGTTTACACCCATGGGGGTGCCCCCCAAAGAGCCCAGAGCAGGGCTGGGGTCTGCCACGGTGCCCACCAGGACCCTGGCACAGGACCCTGGCACAGGGGGGGTGACACTTACTCGATATCTGCCATCTTGATCAGCAGCTGGATGCGGATGGAGGGCGGGAAATCCACTGGGGAGGGAAGGGGACGCATCAGTGTGGAATGGGGGGGATGCTGGGCCCCCCCAGCTCAGCCAGGCCCCCCCCGTGTGCCACCTCTGTGCACGAAGAGGTGGAGCTCGGTCAGGATGTCCTGCAGGGCCAAGCCCTTCAGCGTCTTCAGCTCCGTGATTTCTGGGATGGCAGCGAGTCAAGGCCTTGCTGCCAGGCTTTTCCCTGCCAGATCCCGCTCCTCATCCCTGTGCCAACCCCGAGGAGCCTCCCCAGTGAGCCTCCCCCACCCCAGCCAGAGCAGGACATCCCAGGATGGAGAGCCCTGGGAAAGAGCAGGATTTATCCCAGCAGGGAATAACCCTCAAGGCAAAGGACACTTCACCCACCCCAGCCAGAGCAGGATGGAGATCCCCGGGAAAGCATAGGATTTATTCCAGCAGGGAATAACCCTCAAGGCAAAGGACACTTCACCCATCCCAGCCAGAGCAGGACATCCCAGGATGGAAATGCCTGGGAAAGAGCAGGATTTATCCCAGCAGGGAATAGGGCAAAGGATACTTCGGTAGGCAGTGGAGAAGTCCTGGTTGAGCATCCAGTCGAGGATGTTGGCGATGTCCGACTTGAGGGGGTGTCCCGTGCACGTGTAGACGTTCTCCTCCGTCACCTTCCCGAAGGCCATGGAGGTGCTCTGAGGGAGAGGAGGGAGAGAGGAGGGATAGAGGGATGAAGAGGAAGGGCGAGGAGGCCCCTCCAGGCCACGGTCCCACCTGCAGGATGTTGAGGGCCCTGCGCATGTCCCCGCTCGAGAGGGTCACCAGAGCCTTCAGCCCGTCCTCCGTCACGTCCACCCTGGAAAACAACACCGGCGCTGCACGGGCAGGCGGATCCGCGGGAACGCCGCGGGAATGCCGGCCCGGAGCTCGGCTCCGTGCAGGGAAGGGGGGTGAGGAGGGTGCCCCTGGCCCCCGCTGACCCTTCCTGCAGGATGACGTGCTGCAGCCGCGGCACCATGAGCTCCGGGGTGAGGGGCCCGAAGCGGAAGCGGGTGCAGCGGGACTGCAGGGCGGGGATGATCCGGGACAGGTAGTTGCAGATGAGGCAGAACCGGGTGTTCTCCGTGAACTTCTCGATCACTGCCAAGGGGAGGGAGCAGAGGATGGAGGGGGCTTGGCTGCTGCCTCCTCGTCCCAGTTCCCAGCCTGTGCCAGGCTGGAGGAGGCTGGCGGGGTGCCCACGGGGCTGGGATTCCCAGGGTGGGACTTCCAGAGTGTGGGATTCCTGGGGTGTGGGATTCCCAAGGGGTGGGATTCCCAGAGGGGGAGATTCCCGGGGAGGGGATTCCCAGAGGGGGGATTCTCAGAGTGTGGGATTTCCGAGGGGTGGGATTCCCAGGGTGTGGGATTCTCAGAATGTGGGATTCCCAGGGAGTGGGATTCTCAAGGGCTGGGATTCCCAGGGTGTGGGATTACTGGGCTGTGGGATTCTCAGGGTGGGATTCCCAAGGCGTGGGATTCTCAGGGTGTGCGATTCCCAGTGTGGGATTTCTGAGGGGTAGGATTCCCAAGGGGTGGGATTCCTGGGGTGGCATTCCCAGCATAGGATTCCCAGGGTGTGGGATTCCCAAGGTGTGGGATTCCTGGGCTGTGGGATTCCCAAGGTGTGACATTCCCAAGGGGTGGGACTCCCAGGGTATGGGATTCCCAAGGGGTGGGATTTCCAAGGGATGGGATTCCCAGGGTGTGCGATTCCCAGTGTGGGATTCCTGAGCTGTGGGATTTCTGAGGGGTAGGATCCCCAAGGCGTGGGATTCCCAAGGAGTGGGATTTCTGAGGGGTGGGATTCCCAGGGTGTGGGATTCCCAGGGGGTGACATCCCAAGGGGTGGGATTCCCAGACTATGGTATTCCCAGGGGGTGGGACTCCTAGAGTGTGGGATTCCTGGGCTGTGGGATTTCTGAGGGTTAGGATCCCCAAGGGGTGGGATTCCCAGGGGGTGGGATTCTCAAGGGGTGGGATTCCCAAGGGCTGGGATTCCCAGAGTTCAAGATTCCCACATGTGGGGTCCCTCACCTCTCCTCAGGGCATTCTGGGCATCCTGGGTCATGGCATCGGCTTCATCCAGGATGACGAGCTTGAAGCCTTTCCTTAAAAAAGGGGGAAAAAAGGGAGTGGGTTTGGTCCCTACTGTGGGTTTGGTGCTGGAAAAGGGGGAGCCGGGATGTTTATTCCCAGCTGGAGAAGGGGGAACTGGGATATTTATTCCCAGCCTGACTCCTGGGAACCCTCCTTCCCCTCCAGACTGGCATCCTTATCCTTCCCACCCTCATCCTCACTTTTCTCAGGGCACATCCTTCCCCTGCTTCCCCAGCCCAGCACCCCCCAAATCCCATTCCCATTCCCAGTGCCAGGGCAGGGGGTGCCGGAGGGATGGGAGCTGTGGGAAGCACAGACATCCCGCTCACTTGAAGATGGTCCTGGTGCTGGCAAAGCTCAGGATGGGCCCCCGGACGATGTCGATGCCCCGGTCATCGGAGGCGTTGAGCTGGGATTGGGATACGGATGGTGTGGATCCGGATCCCTGCCGGAGGGGGCACCCCCATCCCATCCATCCCATCCCACCCCACTGCATTCCATCCTTTCTCTTCCCATCCCATCCATCCCATTCCACCCCATCCCATCATTTCTCTTCCCACCCCAGATTACCTCTTCCCATCTTGTCCCATCCCACTCCATCCTTTCTCATCCCATCCCACCCCACCCCATCACATTCCTTTTCTTCCCATCCCATCCATCCCAGTCCATCCCTTTGCATTCCATCCCATCTTTTCTCTTTCCATCCAACCTATCCCATCCATTCCTTCTCATTGCATCCCACCCTACTCCATCCCATCTGATCCCATCCCATCCCATCCCATCCCTCCCCATCCATTTCATCCATCCCATCCCATCCCATCACTCCCACTCCATCCCATCCCTCCCACCCCGTGCCATTCCACACTTTTCCCTCCCCCCTGTCCCGCTCACCTCCAGCACCATGGAGCCGAATTCCCTGTCCCGGTAGAGCTGCCTGGCACAGGCCAGGATGGTGGAGGTTTTCCCTGTGCCGGGCGGGCCATAGAGCAGCAGGTGCGGGAGCCGATCCTCGCTGATGAACCGCTGCACTGCGGGAATGGCACACCGGGATACCGGGATACCGGGACATGGGGACACCGGGACATGGGGACACCGGGATACCGGGATACCGGGACATGGGGACACCGGCACACCGGGATACCGGGATACCGGGACATGGGGATACCGGCACACCGGGATACCGGGACATGGGGATACCGGGACATGGGAATTCTGGGATACTGGGAGATGGGGATACTGGGATACTGGGACACCAGGATGTCAGGATACCAGGACACTGGGATATGGGGATTCTGGGATACTGGGAGATGGGGATACTGGGATACCAGGACATCGGGATATTGGGATGCTGGGACACCAGGATATGGGAATATGGGGATACCGGGACACTGGGATATGGGGATACCGGGATAGGGATACGGGGATACCGGGATATCAGGATACTGGGATATGGGGACAACGGGATATGGGGATGCCAGGATACTGAGATATAGGGATACTGGGGTATCGGGATACTGGGATATGGGGATACTGGGGTATGAGGACACCAGGATACTGGGATATGAAGACAACAGGATATTGCGATATGGGGCACCGGGATACCAGGACACCAGGATATTGGGATACTGGGACACCAGGATATGGGAATACGGGGATACCGGGACACTGGGATAGGGGAATATGGGGATACCGGGACACCAGGATATGGGGATGC